GAATATGAATGAGAGCGAGACTACTTAATCGATTATCATCGGTACTGTTTCGTAAACAACTTTTGATTAATTTCATTGTTGAAAATGATCGTTCAGCTCTTGCTACTGTTACGGGTAAAACGGCAAATAATTCAAATAACTGATTTAAATTCGGAAAGAATGATCGACAATGAACTAATTCAACTAATGTTTCATTGATATTTTTTGATCTCCCTTCCGCTATTATTTTTTCCCATTTATTTTTCCAGATATAAAATTCGGCATAGATAACACTATTATCATTCGACGGTAGATCGTCTTTATAAAAGTCAACTAATTCTTTAATATCATCAACTGTTCGATCTACCACATAAACCGGAATTAAGTTCATGATTTTCGCTACTATTTTTTTGATGTTCACTAAACCTGTATGATAAGTGATCCAGAGTTGTTTGTATGAATGTTTCATAAATGTGTTTTAAATATAATTCAATTGTTTTATGTTTACTGGTTCTTGATATTTTTAACTCAACATCCGTATCACGAGAAAATTGTTCAAGATCATTTTGCAATTTATCGAGTTTAGTTTTATCATATTTCAATTCGGTCAAATATGTCCCAATATTTTCAATATTATCGTAGCATTGAATGAGATCTAAATATATATCAACTAGACATTTTATCGACGGACGAATAACTAGCTCACCACATTTCTTATCTTGCAACGCCTCGGAATATGGCTTTGTAATAGCAAATATTTTTGATACAACAAACAATGGTATTATAAAATCAATATCGGCAATACATTTTAAATAAGCTCTTGCATTACCTCTTGTATCTGCATCACCATTCTCTACCATAAATTCTAACAAAATAACAACCGCAGGATACAGACTGTAGGAAATGTATGCCAGATGAGAGTCTCATCTGGCATGCATTTCCTACAGTCTGTTTAATCTTACCTTCTGTTTACTGTTGCCCATCATTTGAATAAGGAGAAAGATTTTGTTGATATATACTTTGCTTGTTCAAAATATAAATTAGATAAATTCCAGTAACGAATTTTAAAACTGATGGTATCAAAAAAACATAAAATCACTTTTGCATGAATGATTCGAACATGTGAACTTGTTATTGTTTTACCAGTAACTATTTTTATTTATTCATTCTTCTTAGGCAACAAAGACAACAAATATATTCATCAAATAAAAATTATACATCTGTTGTGACAAAACCAGCTGCTTCTGAAGAAGAAAGTTTTTCGATCTATAAAAAAAAGGTAATAAACATTACACTTGTGTAGGCATCTTCTCTTTTTTTCAGTCAGGCTGTGTCAGTGTCAGTTTTCTTTATTTTACTTATTGTATCATGGAGAAAATAGGCAATAATACTTGTACATTTCTATGGACAGTAAGAAACATAAGTTACAGTCATTTTAAATCTGCTTAGGCTATATTTTTGTGCATGTATGTTATTATGTATTAACAAAAGACTATCTACAAATACTTGAGAAATATTTCTTCATTTTCGTTTTACAAGGAACGAGAGGAACGACTTTGACGGAGTTCAAACAAAAGACAAAGATAACAAAGATAAAGCTTCTTTCGTTACAACCGGTCCTTCCACTGTTATTCACCAGTAAGAACCAAAGCAGATTAAGAATATAATAAAAACGAAGGTGTGGAACACGATTTCTAGACGCTCTGTTCTTTCGTTCGCCTTGATCATACTAACTGTGTACCATATCTATGCTTTGACAGAAAGATCTTTGAATAGAAAACATTCAGTTAATAGAAAGTTTAAACAAAAATTTGGGTTTCATCCATCAGTTCAATTCACTAGAACAGCATTATTACTGTTCCTCTCTCATTAACTTTTCGCTCTAGCTGTTTTTATCAATACCATTTAGCAGGGTAAAAGTGAACAGGTAAGATTACATTGCAGTTTGCAGCCCGAAGCTACGGAGAGTTATAAGCTATTTCTTTTCGATTCATGAATCATGTCTTTCCTAATAAATTATTCTTGGAATTGCTTGAATATTTACACGCAGATGATTTATATCGTGGATTTTTAATCTAAATCTAAGAATCAATTGCATTCTTTGATCTGTTCGTTGGATTATTCATTTATACAATAGAGAAGATGATGAATATCTATCTAATTGGAAATATTATTCTCCCATATTATCAACAAATCTATTATTATAATCAAATATAAAACGTATCTCCATTAGTTGAAAAACTAATTTCAGCAGATATATTCATTACCTTTATCGGGCCCATCTTCCATACATATAAGGCAAACTCAGTCATAATGACTTGAATGTTTATAAGGAATCTAAGCAAGTCATGACTACTACGATGCTAGGCTATAATCATATTCTTGCAAAAATCAGATGGTTTTTTAGTTTTTCTTACAAAATCAAAGTGATGACTTTACAAAAATTTTCTACCATAATCCAAAAACTGAGTAAGTCAATTCAAACAAATTTCCAGGAGTAACTATTACAACCAAGCTAGGGTGGGAAAGTACATTAGCGAACCACTAAGGAAAGTCAGAAGTACATATAATGCGCCGAGTTTTATTTTTAAATAGATTACGAAAAATCACACAAAACTCGTCGTAAATTATTTCTAGCATCCTCACTATATTCTTCTTTTTGTATATGGTTTTTTTCACTGAAAAACAAAAAGAACAAATCGAGCATGTGTTCTGTTATGGTTTGCACATGGTATATTCGTTGTGGGAATGGGATAATGTAGCAACATTAATCTTAAGTAGAGAACTAACATTGCGCGACTATCTCTTAAAATATTGGTTAAGGTTCACTAAACATCTAAATGAATCAGCTGAAGCAACATCTTACCAGCAGAGATGTGCGCCGCCGCTCCGGTTCGCCGATTCGCCGCCGCCGCCGGTCATTTTTACCCGCCGCTGAAGGCGGAAGAAATTTTCAAAGCCTCGCACCGCCGCCGCCGAAGGCTGAAAAAAATTATTGTGGCTTCCGCCGCCGCCATGCGGTTAAACTTTTGTCGTCGCAGAGGGGGGAAATTTTTTTTTAAATCGGACACTTTTGGTCGTTGTTTTTGAGGCACTGCCCAGCGGTCCAAAGAGTTCGTTCTAAGCTTAATCGGTAGAGAATTGACTTCTCTACAAAACCCGCTATTTGAATCTCTCATAGCATTTTTTTTATTTGAATACCATTCAAAATATTAAAGGGTGCTGAGTTGTCAAACTGCCAGATGCTTTTTGAGATTTCCAGCCCATTGTCTGGTATTTAATAGCTTATTTTTCTAAGTAGAAAGATAGAGAACTTTTTGCTCTATCGATATCACTAGTTTACAGCTACATACAATGTTTCCGCTATGTCTGTTGGACCTATAATTAGTTATGAACCAGCTTTTCAACGTTTTCAAATTAAAGCAATTTTTTTAATTAACGATTTCAATTGAGAAACTCTTTTTATATATCAAAAGATGCAGAATTCAGTTCTGCGTAAGATAATAAGACTAAAAACTTGCATTCCGAACGATCTACTGCTTTTCTAGCGAAAAAAAGTAAAGTCTGTGAAAAATTAGGTCTTTTTAGATTTATCAGTTTTTTGCGCAGAGAAATTTTCCGAGAAGACTTAACTGCAAAATTTCGAACCATATATGAGAAGATGTAGAATTTCCGGTAAATCTTCTGATCGTTTCAAAGTTCTTATGGAATTTGTTTTTGATACAGGGCAAATATTTTTCTATTTTCAGTGTGTCGCAGTTCGACAACTCTGCACCCTTCAATATTTTGAATGGTGCTCAAACGAGAAAAATGCTATCACAGATTCAAATAGCAGGTTTTGTAGAGAATTCAATTCTCTAGCGATTAAGCTTAGCAGCAGTAAATAGAATATTCTATGTATTTCATACTGAAATGAAGAATACATTGTTTCTTTGTTTGCTTGCAGCACAGGGTGTGCCATTTACTTTGAAGCTTAGCAGCAGTAAATAGAATATTCTATGTATTTCATACTGAAATGAAGAATACATTGTTTCTTTGTTTGCTTGCAGCACAGGGTGTGCCATTTACTTTGGTTTTACCCAAAGCGTATGACGCAGGATTCTCTTACTATTTTTGTCAGTACGTTCGTAGCTTACGTTTGGCATCTAGCATGCAACGCTTTTTTATCTTTTCGTAT